CCATGGTAACTCAAAGCCAGAACTTAACACCTAAAATTAATTTGTGATTAACAGTTTGGTCAAAAAGAACATTGTTCTCTACCTAAATACTTTTTTACAGCTTTACATATTGTGCAGATTCTCTCCTGTAACCAAACAGACAAACAAACAAACAAAAATATCCAACATGTAAACAAACTTGAGTTTCAGTAGAATAAAGATTACAGAAAATCATTTATATTCTCCTTTTTAACGTATTATTACTTAACAGCTTATTATTAAAACGTTTTTGTGCATTTTTATAAATATATAAACCGGGAGTGATCTCCCCTAAACTTTCTCGAATATACGTATTTAACTCGGAATATAGACATGATTTTTAATTACTTAAACTTTTAAAAATAAAATAGAATCTTGTAGAAAATATTATTAGTACTTTATAAATGTACATGCATTTTTTGAGAAATCGGAAATAGCGTAAATTAGTACTTCCGGTCAACGGAAATTACTCAAAGTTTGATAGAAGGTAGAGAATTAGAACTTTTACTTACACGGTAAATTTCATTTATCTATCTGAAATAGTTCTCAAGTTATAGGCTTTTGAACAAATGAAATAAGAAAAGTACCACTTCCGGGTATTTGAAATCGCTCAAAAGTTGATACGGATCTACGATTTTGAAATAATACTTATATATGAAATTTCATCAACCTAGCTGTAACGGTACTCACGTTATTGTGTTTACACGCACGCACACACACACACAGACAGACACACATACACACAGACATACGGACAAGATTGCAAAACTATGTTTTTCCGACATTTTTTTTGCACGATTACAAGACTTTCTCTATACTTCGTATATACGAGAAAATAAAAAAGCCGCAAGGAAAAAAGTCACAAAATTAAAGTCACAGAAAAAAGTCTAAAACATATTTATGAAATGGATTTTTTTAATTGTTAAGAATTTTAAATTTTAGATGTGTATTAATATAGGTGGTGTTTTTATGGTATCATCCTAACTTTGCTTAATAAAAATTAATGCATAGTTAACTGGAAACAGTCTTTTTAGATTCGTCCTTTTACCTTTTTTCAAAAAAAAATTCAGGAAGAACACTATTTACGCTAATGCTGTTCACCTTCCTTCCCCTCCTCAACATAACACCTGTTCAGTTTTCCATCAGTAGAATCTCCACCCGCCCCCTCCCAACAAAGCAAAGTTTCTTTCAACATATTAAAACCGTGATGTACCACTTTATGTAGATACAGCAATGTCCCTTACGGTTGTAGGAAAAAGAGACCACCAGTTCTCAAAAATGCATACTATCTGTAAACACGTAGTTCTCCAAATTTAACATTACAGTAGTACAGTTTGCGTTATATTTTTTTTAGTTTGATAAATAGTTGGTATAATTATATGTACAATAAGGGCCTAAATTAAAATGAAAAAAAAAGGTAATAGATATTCGTAATCGTTTTATCGATGTACGATAGTTTTAACTAAGCTATGGGTGTATTTTTTCTGAACAAGCTGTCCGTTTTTGAAGACATGATGGCCTCGGAATTATATGTGCTGAACAAAATTTACCTTCGGTTAAGGTGTTCTATATTTAATCTATCTAGAGCATAGACCTATTATGTACAACTAGAGATCGATATTAAATAAAAATCGTGGCAGGATCTGATTGGTTTAATCAAACTGGTTTTGGTCAGGTTTTGCCCAAGCCTAAATCCACCTTAACACCGCCCCCCTCCCCAAAGTTTTACGCGTTCATCCTCTTCTACCTTAAAGCGTACCCTATTTCACATGCTTGTAATATAGATACCGTTGGGGAGGGATAGCAGTTCATGTGTCTATCTGGACTGCACAAGACCAATCAGGGACTGGGGTGGATTGGGATATAATAGTGTGTGGTTACTAAATAACCTTGGTGGGTAAAACGGTTGAAAAACAAATAGACTGTTAGTACGGCAAAGAAGCGAAGAACTAAAAGAAGGTTAGAAACATGACTGCTTAGTTTATTTTTTACTGCCTAAACCAAACGTGTGGCACTTAATATCAGGTTTTCGTTTGCCAGGAATAACAATTATTTAAAGCTACATGCAACACTACAGCTAATGCGGAAAACTCTCGTTTGTGTGTGTCGGGCAGGGGGGGGGAGTTTGGGCACGTGTCATGTGTTTGCCACGTCCTTATGTTATAATTGAAGCCAATCGAATGCAGACAATATTTAACTGTGCCACCACCTAACATCACGTGATCAGATACTACGCAGTGCAGTCGATACTTAAATAAACACAGCAATATTTTAAGTCAAATGCAGTCGACTTATTTCGTTATGAATGTAAAACATTTTAATATAATACTAGACTACCCGTTATCCGTTGGATAACTGTGGGTTTCGACGGTCATCTATAAAAAATAATCACGTCTGTCACTCAGAGGCGTAGCGACCCTTCCCGGCGCCCGGGGAAAAACTTTTCGATTTGAACCCCCCCCCCCTCCGCCACACCCCCTCCCCCGCGAGATTTCGATTTGCAACCCCCCCCCCCCCCTCAAACTTTCGATTTGCACCCACCTCAACCTTTCAATTTATTTTTCCAACCCATTTTGGCGCCCCTTAAGGTCGGCGCCCGGGGACATATGTCCCCCCCCCCCCCCTCGCTACGCTACTGCAGTGTCACTTATCGTCACAAAAAAACAGACCCCACATTAAAAAATATGTTTTTTATCTTTTAAAAAACACAGAAAACACCGATTTCGGACTATCCCTTCATATACTGACGTCACAGGTAACCTACTTAACTCTACTTCACCTGCCATGTGTCTCGCCAAGTCTCAGACAACATGTTTTTATCGTTTAAAAAAACGATTCCAGCCGAGCATGTCTCTGACCACACTATCCTTTCATATGCTTAGGACAAAGAAACAGATGAACTCTACTTCACCTGCCCTGTATCCCGCCAAGTTCAGATAGGCAACTTTATTATTCACATCTAAAAAATAAAATTTAAATTTAAAAAAAAAAGTATCATTGACGCATTGGTCTAGAACCTGTGCCACCCGCATGCAAGCCGATTACACTAACAACTTAGCTATTTAACTCGTGACGTCACAGATGAATTTTTATACTATACTTTAATACTTTGAGTCTCCTTATGCAACTTGATTTGCGCGCATAGATCTAGATCTAAGTCTAGTAGTAGTAACTTTCAAATTAAATTTTATCTTAAATTAACCAAACAAAGATTTATATAAAATAATGAAGGTCTGAAATTATCTGGATCTTGGGCGAGCTACTTCAATTCATGCCAGGTCTTGCCAATAGCCTGCACTTTGTCCTTCTCTCTCCTCCATGTTCCCAGTGGTCTTTCGCTTTCCAGGCGGAGTCCACTTCAGAGCCATGTTGAAGAATCTTCTTTTGCCCATGCGTAGGACATGACCCAGTCATCTCCATATCCTCATTCGAACTTCTGAAACAATGTCGTTTAATCCTGTCCTTCGCCATATTTCCTTGTTCGGGACTTTGTCGTCCCACATTATTCTTAGGATACGTTGTCACAATCTTCTTTCAAAGCCCCTGAGTCGGCTCTCTCCTTTCTTGTTTAGTTTCCATGACTCTGCAGCGTAGAGGAGTACAGAACGTATATTAGATTTTACAGTAGCCCTAGTCAGGTTAAAATATAACACATTAACCTGGCTGCCTAATCCCCCCCCCCTAGGAAATAGACATTAGGGATGAGAAGGTATGGACTGGTTAGCTGGACTGCTAACCCGTAAGTCTCGAGTTCGAATCCGGGTTCAAGTCAGTTCACCGTCCCTGAGTACACCCAACTCTAATGCGTACCTAACACACGTTAGGGCAAGTAAAGGCGGCTTGGCATAGTGCTGACCACACTATCCCTTCATATGCCGAGGTCACAGAAACAGGTGAACTCTACTTCACTTGCCCCATAGACCGTAAGGTTTGAAAGGGGATCTATAAGAAGGTATATTCAATTAGATAGGCTATCATCTCAAAAGGCGGATTGACTGTAAATATATAAGTGCTGTTTGCGTTGTTTTTGTTAGTAATTTTTAAAAAATACTTGGTTTAAATTTTTAAACAGAAAAACAAAACAGAAAAAATTGTTAACATCGATTTATGGATGTTTGAAGGTATGAGTTGAACTGATTTTACCCTGCTCGACTTTAACATGCACAAGAGATCCATACTCAATAAAAATCGTGGCAGGATCTGAGAGGTTTCATTAAACTGGTAGTGGTCAGGTGAAATTGAAGTGGGGATTAAATGATTACCGTTATTGATCAGGTCATGTCTGTTTTTGTTTTGATTGTAAAATTTAATATGTTGAAACAGCACTTTGCCTTGTTATATGGTTATATGTCTATCAACTCCTCCCCTTTATGGCCTTTATTGAAATGGAGGATTCAATCCCACACTACAGGTACAATATTTGTAATGCAACCGGTAGATTTTTATACTACTATCTAAAACTACATTTTATTATAAATATTTAAAAGCTAAAGGATGAAACGGAGGAGATTCGCAACTTAATTTGACTTTACATCACTGCCTTTTGCCCCTATTTCTTCTTAAATGTTGCTGTTGTATTGAGGGACCCCCTAGCCATTAAATTATTTTCAATAACTTACTCTAAAACACTTGATGGGCTGCATAACTGAAATATACGCGTTTAACATTGCGTGATTCTAATGCAGTAATAAATTATGTAAGCGACTTTATATCAATATCGCTACAGCTTAATTTTCCCAGAAAAGTTTTGTGCAAAGTTTGATTTCGCTTTCATGATTTTGATAGAACGCTATACATTTTGAAAAAAAAAACAATATAAGTAAAATTTGCATTTTGATTTGTCAATTTAAATTTACTTCCACACACATCAACTCAGGTTTTAATTTCAATTTTAAAATGTTAAAATTTTAAAATACATTTCACACAACGACCAAAATAACTAACTTATCACGCAACGATAAAACATAAGACTTTGATTTAACTGATCAGCTTTATTGTATTGATGTCACAAACGTGGCAAAAATCTCAAGTCAACAAAGTGGTTGTTCGATCAATGTCCACCTCGGCTTATAACCCCACACATTACCCCACACACTACCCCACACGTTACCTCACACAAATTACCCAAATGCTCTGAATGAATACATAAACAAAATCGAACGTATCATATTTTCGTATGTTAAACAATATATTGCATAGTGTTGTAGCCTTTGACTTTTACTGCTTTACATTAAGAAACGTTCTATTGAAGTTGCTGTCAGTGCTCAAGCTAGTTTTCTTCTAGATAGAAATTAGATAGTATTAAGATATAGACCAAACATTTACTAAGTTGTTCCCTCGTTAACATTTTATTTGTCCTTAATTAAAACAATATATGGGGTTTCTTGTCCAGATGGTAAGTAGCGAGAGTTAAAGTGCGGGTGATATATGTCTAGGTGGTTAATTGACCGGGAGCCATGATAATGACTAGGGATTTGGTTTTCGGAGTTTCATCTCAGAAGAATCGAGGGAGTCATGACCATCAGTGAATTTAAGCCACCAGATACCCCGAGCAAATTCTTTACTTCCCCGATTTCCGTTCAAGTTTGCTAACCCACAGTGACCAACGGTAGGCCACCACCAACCTTTATAGCCTAGATATCTACAACCAACGCTGGGCCCATGATCGAAAGTTGTGAACGGCTCTCCATTGTTATCTCTAAGGTGATCATCATTGACACTTCCTCCGAAGGTGTTGTTTGTGTAGGACATTCGATAGAGATCTGCTTCACTTTGCACCCTGAAGTTATGGTATGTCATGTATTTGGGATCTCCCTTCCATATCATGTCAATCCTCATATCTGTATAACCCTGTTAAATCATTATATAATTAAAACAACTGTTAACAAGTGATTAGTTAACTGCTGCACTCTCCCAAATCAAGAATTCAACTTCAATAGTCAGTTACTGCAAGTAACACAATGATAAAAATACAAAATTATAAACTAGAAATTTCTTGCAAGCTTTCCCACTTTTTCATTTTCTCTGCCCTCATCTCTTCCTCGGGTACACACGCACACGCACACATACACACGCACACACACACACGTTATCTCCCTCTAATACACTCCTCTCACTCTAAACCACACACAAAACCATCTCTCTCTCACACACACACTAATTATCTCCTTCTCACACACTCTCCAATAACAAATTTATTTTAAAAAAATATTTACCGCAGCTGTCAGTTTACTTATCATCTCATTGCCAAGCCAAAAGTCGCCATTAAAAGAACCGAATCCATCGCGATATTCTGCCCAGTTTTTTGTAAAGTTCACGTCACCATTGATAATGCGCTGGAAATAAATTTAACGAGTCTTAAAATCAAACTTCTATCATTATGTCGGCTAGACTTAATAATGTGTCGAACGTTAACCTTAAACTTTTGCATATTTTTAAACTGGTGAAACTTGAAAGGTAAATTAAGAAAGTAACCTAGAGCCTCTTACAAACATGAAAATTTTAAGAATAACTAGCCTAGATAATAATCCAACCACCTCTGTCAGTTTTTTCATCACAAAGACCACAGATTTTACCAATTGTTTTCGATTAAGTGTTTGAATAACTAACCTTGAAAACAATCCAACCACCTCCGTCAATTTTAGTGTCACAAAGAACACAGAATTTACCAACTGTTTTCGATTAAGTGTTTGAACAACTAACCTGGAAAATAATCCAACCACCTCCATCAGTTTTAGTGTCACAAAGAACAAGTTTATTATCCAGAGATTCAACCACTACTCTGTCTTTCAGGCAGGTAAACTTGGCGTTTTTTTCACATTTTTGCTTAAGCGTACAGTTCATAAATCAATATATATATATATATATATATATATATATATATATATATATATATATATATATATATATATATATATGTGTGTGTGTGTGTGTGTGTGTGTGTGTGTGTGTAAGATAGAACTTTAGTTTTTAGCTTTATCAATTCATGAAACTGATTTTTTTAGTAAAGATAATGTCAATAATGTAATTGATTAAAAAAATACTGACTTGACCAAATGTTGATCTACATTTTTGAGGTCTGTTTTTGCAGCGACCTGTCCCAGCCTTCTTGGTGTATTTGTTCTCTTATCATACATTCAATATAGGTAAACACGGGGTTAGTGAACAAAAGAATATAGGCCTACAATACAATTAGTTCAATAATCTAATGAGATATCTGTTTATGATTTTATCTTATATATAATATGGGATTGTTTTAAGTTTCGATATGCTTTCAGCTAAATTTGCACGCAATTCGCATAAACATAAGCACATACAAATAAAGCCACAAATATAAGCACAGTCATACCCACAAACTGCATGTATTATTAGCACATATAACTCTCCTTAGTAACACATTATTTTATCATGCCAAATTTTAATTAATTGAAGATTCGTTTCGGATATGCATTTTTAACACAAATACTATTATGTAATAGAACTAAAACGTATATAACGAAGCATTACAACATTATGTAGCTCTTTTGTTAGTTTATAGACTTTCTAAAGTGAAAAATAATTTATGCTGTAACTTACAAAATATATACAAGATATCGGAATATAAAGTCTCACCCGATGTATCATCAGCGTATGAGCAGTTGAACAGAAAGAAACAGACAGCAATGGTTAGCCACCATGTGAAGTAGTCCATTGTAGATGGATATCAGATAAGCTGGGGTCTGGGCTGTAAATAGAAGAACGTTCCAGATGGCTTCTTCCCTTGAACAGCCAAACGAGTCAACTAGCATGAAGTTTTTTCATTAACTTATAGTCTTAAGTAAGGCACCATATGGCAATATGATTAAGAGTTCTTTTCTCGTACGTGTCGTGTACATCCTGATTTAACGAGCCTTTAGCGAATTGAGGTCAGGAATTAGGTTGTTAGAACTAATTTTTTTTCGAACTGATGTCAATAATCGTATCCCTATCCTAAACTCTAACCAAAGAAAAACATGAAGTGTATTACTTATCCTAAAATGATACCGCATATCACAAATTAACTAATACTCAATTTTGGAAGAGTCCATCAGTCCATTGTCAAACATCAATTTTGATTGGACAAATCCTTTCAAGAAATGTGCTTGATTAGATTCAACTTTGGCCGACATTAAATATGCTGTTAGTTTTTTTACATTTTTACGCCTAGGAATATATGTTATATTTTAGAAATATTTGACCCTGAATTTTAGAGTTGCTGTACTAAGCAAGTTTTAATTTCGATGATGTGAGGGTCAAGGTTAGTGTAATAATAGTATAATTTTATTGGGAAGGTCAGTGTTATGCGAGGTTTTCAGTTAGTATAATTCCAAGGTGTAATCCTACTCCCAAAGATCGATAGAAAGTACTGTCGTGGCAAGATCTCATTGGTTTCTTTAAATTAATGTAAATCATGCCAATCTGAAAAGCAGGTTATTTTTTTTTAAAAAGATATCGATTTGATAAAATATCGGTAAAACTAATTTAACTTTTGAACGAGGCTAGGTCATATTTCCTCGATATCTATCCACGAAGAGTTAAGCATATCACGACAAACTAAGTTATACAATGAACAAAAGCTCCATAGAAATCAACTCATCAGTCGTCTTTAAGGGTCATCTATTTAAGTCGTCCACACGGAAGGCATGTGGGGGGGGGGCTTAAGAAAATCAAATTTTGCGGGCGCGTGTGGACTAAGGAGGGGTGGGGGCTTGTTCGGTTGGTTGTGGACTTCAACATGTTGATTTTAACATGGACGTGCTTATACATTTTTACATGAGACTTGTACCTTGCATGTTAAAAGTACAATTAAGAGGACAGTTGTTTTTTTTAAGCCTATCGCAATGTGTAAATAAAGTTTTGGATACAATTATACCTACACTGGGCCATCCTTATCATAAAGGACGTGATCAGTTTTAACGATTTTTTACCTTCCCTATTCACCCATGGTAACTCAAAGCCAGAACTTAACACCTAAAATTAATTTGTGATTAACAGTTTGGTCAAAAAGAACATTGTTCTCTACCTAAATACTTTTTTACAGCTTTACATATTGTGCAGATTCTCTCCTGTAACCAAACAGACAAACAAACAAACAAAAATATCCAACATGTAAACAAACTTGAGTTTCAGTAGAATAAAGATTACAGAAAATCATTTATATTCTCCTTTTTAACGTATTATTACTTAACAGCTTATTATTAAAACGTTTTTGTGCATTTTTATAAATATATAAACCGGGAGTAATCTCCCCTAAACTTTCTCGAATATACGTATTTAACTCGGAATATAGACATGATTTTTAATTACTTAAACTTTTAAAAATAAAATAGAATCTTGTAGAAAATATTATTAGTACTTTATAAATGTACATGCATTTTTTGAGAAATCGGAAATAGCGTAAATTAGTACTTCCGGTAAACGGAAATTACTCAAAGTTTGATAGAAGGTAGAGAATTAGATCTTTTACTTACACGGTAAATTTCATTTATCTATCTGAAATAGTTCTCAAGTTATAGGCTTTTGAACAAATGAAATAAGAAAAGTACCACTTCCGGGTATTTGAAATCGCTCAAAAGTTGATACGGATCTACGATTTTGATATAATACTTATATATGAAATTTCATCAACCTAGCTGTAACGGTACTCACGTTATTGTGTTTACACGCACGCACACACACACACAGACAGACACACATACACACAGACATACGGACAAGATTGCAAAACTATGTTTTTCCGACATTTTTTTGCACGATTACAAGACTTTCTCTATACTTCGTATATACGAGAAAATAAAAAAGCCGCAAGGAAAAAAGTCACAAAATTAAAGTCACAGAAAAAAGTCTAAAAAATATTTAAGAAATGGATTTTTTTAATTGTTAAGAATTTTAAATTTTAGATGTGTATTAATATAGGTGGTGTTTTTATGGTATCATCTTAACTTTGCTTAATAAAAATTAATGCATAGTTAACTGGAAACAGTCTTTTTTAGATTCGACCTTTTACCTTTTGTTTTTAAAAATAAATTCAGGAATAACAGAATTCACGCTAATGCTGTTCACCTTCCTTCCCCTCCTCAACATAACACCTGTTCAGTTTTCCATCAGTAGAATCTCCACCCGCCCCCTCCCAACAAAGCAAAGTTTCTTTCAACATATTAAAACCGTGATGTACCACTTTATGTAGATACAGCAATGTCCCTTTCGATTGTAGCAAAAAGAGACCACCAGTTCTCAAAAATGCATACTATCTGTAAACACGAAGTGGTCCAAATTTTACATTACAGTAGTACAGTTTGCGTTATGTTTTTTAGTTTGATAAATAGTTAATATAATTATATGTACAATAAGGGCCTAAATTAAAATGAAAAAAAGGTAATAGATATTCGTAATCGTTTTATCAATGTACTATCGTTTTAACGAAGCTATGGATGTATTTTTTCTGAACAAGCTGTCCGTTTTTGAAGACATGATGGCCTCGGAATTATATGTGTCGAACAAAATTTACCTTCTTAACGGCATGGTTAAGGTGTTCTATATTTAATCTATCTAGAGCTTAGTCCTATTATGCACAACTAGAGATCGATATTAAATAAAAATTGTGGCAGGATCTGATTGGTTTGATCAAACTGGTTTTGATCAGGTTTTGCCCAAGCCTAAATCCACCTTAACACCGCCCCCCTCCCCCAGTGGCGTAGGCAGGGGGGTTAGGGGGGTCATAACCCCCCCCCACCATAGACCCCTCGGTATATATATATATATATATATATATATATATATATATATATATATATATATATATATATATATATATATATATATATAAAGTTTGAGGGGGTGCTAATCGAAAGTTTGAGGGGGGTGCAAATCGAAAGTTTGAGGGGGGAGTGCAAATCGAAAGTTTGAGGGGGGTGCAAATCGAAAGTTTGTCCCCGGGTAAAAATTGGACCCCCCCCCCCCCCCCTTGAGTCGATCCTGGTCACGCCACTGCCCTCCCCAAAGTTTTACGCGTTCATCCTCTTCTACCTTAAAGCGTACCTTATTTCACATGCTTGTAATATAGATACCGTTGGGGAGGGATAGCAGTCCATGTGTCTATCTGGACTGCACAAGACCAATCAGGGACTGGGGTGGATTGGGATATAATAGTGTGTGGTTACTAAATAACCTTGGTGGGTTAAACGGTTGAAAAACAATTAGACTGTAAGAACGGCAAAGAAGCGAAGAACTAAAAGAAGGTTAGAAACATGACTGCTTAGTTTATTTTTTACTTCCTAAACCAAACGTGTGGCAATTAATATCAGGTTTTTGTTTGCCAGGAATAACAATTATTTAAAGCTACATGCGACACTACGGCCAATGCGGAAAACTCTCGTTTGTGTGTGTCGGGCAGGGGGGGGGGGGGAGTTTGGGCACGTGTCATGTGTTTGCCACGTCCTTATGTTATAATTGAAGCCAATCGAATGCAGACAATATTTAACTGGGCCACAACCTAACATCACGTGATCAGATACTACGCAGTGCAGTAGATTCTTAAATAAACACAGCAATATTTTAAGTCAAAAGCAGTCGACTTATTTCGTTATGAATGTAATACCTATTAATATATTATGGACAGGTTTATTTATTCTCTTTGTCAATTAATAGACCAAAAGTCATTATCGGCTATTGTTTTTCAATATCTTCAAACAGTGAAACATACTAAATGTGGTACAGCTCAGTTTTAAGATCTTTACGAGAATCTATACATGGATGACAAGGGAAGGGGTGGGTTCTATTGTGGAAAACTCAAAATAAAATAAAAATCCCCGTTTCATCCCTGTCCACAACTCCTCCCTCATTCTATATACCGAAAACAAGCCCTCGACACCTTCTCTCCCCTTCACCATGCAGGCCACCACTCCGCTCACATTGCAGTAAAAAGAAGTCTAAAAAGCTTAATTCTTAACATACAGGAATATATCAAGATGCTAAAAAAATTGTACCATATACTTTACGTTCTTAAAGGCCTTGTAAAAGTGTTCTATATTAAATCTAAATAAAGCATTGACCTCTAATTGTGTATAAATCTTCATGTACTGAGTAAGAGGGGGGGGGGGTAGAAATAGCGATTAGGGATGATCAGGTATATTAAAATAAATAGGCTGTCACCTCAAAATGCGGATTGAACATAATTACATTAACGTTGTTTACGTTGTATTTGTTGGCTATTTAAATAAATCCGTAATCCTCATCACTCCCTGTGGAGTGTAGGGCAGCAACAAATCTCCGCCTTTCCACTCTGTCTTGGGCGAGCCACTTCAATTCATGCAAGGTCTTGCCAATAGCCTGCACTTTGTCCATCTCTCTCCTCCATGTTCCCAGTGGTCTTTCGCTTTCCAGGCGGAGTCTACTTCAGAGCCATGTTGAAGAATTTTTTTTTGCTCATGCGTAGGACATGACCCAGTCATCTCCATATCCTCATTCGAACTTCTGAAACAATGTCGTTTAATCCTGTCCTTCGCCATATTTCCGTGTTCGGGACTTTTTCGTCCCACTTTATTCTTTGGATACGTTGTCAGGATCTTCTTTCAAAGCCTCTGAGTCGGCTCTCTCCTTTCTTGTTTAGTTTCCATGACTCTACAGCATAGAAGAGTACAGAACGTATATTAGATTTTTACAGTAGCCCTAGTCAGGTTAAAACATAACACATTAACCTGGCTGCAAATTCCCCCTACGAAATAGACATTTGGGATGAGGAGGTATATTCAATTAGATAGGCTATCATCTCAAAAGGCGGATTGACT